TAAGAAAGTCGAGTTGCCTCTTAGAAAAAGGATTTGGGGGAAATTATTCAGAATGGCTTCCCTTCAAGCTCGCTCTCACACACGCTCACATTCCCTCTTTACAAATACAGGTGTTTTCTTACAGCGATTGGCAACCCTTCGTATTCCATGCGTAACTGTGGATCCAGGAAGGTAAACTGCCAGGCACACAGGTATGAAAGTTCATCCGTCATGAAGACAGGCTGGAGAGAAGATTTCTTGGCCATATTGTGAAATGATTTATGGTCGCTGGACATAAACAGCTGGGAATGAAGACAGAAGGGAATAGTTTGTCTGGAAATTAGATAACCATTGTTGAAGATCAACAGAAAACAAAGGGGGAGAAATTAACAGCATGTTCACTGTTCCCTATGATCAGCGGCTGCCTTCTCCCATTTGCAAATTTAAGGCTGAACATATGGAGGATTCTGGCTAGTTTCACAGAATGGGAGGAGACACAGAAATATAACTGTATTGAACCAGACGCTGGGACCCTTGCCAAAGTTAGAGTGACCTACCGGTTGTGCTTGGGATCATCTCCTTTGAATGACCCCATAATCCCTTGAGAAGTGGAGTTTGGGCAACTGAATGGAACAGAATGTTTTCTGGCCAGATGCCCTTTCTGTTGCCAATGCGGAGTTTTTTTTCAGCAGATATACTGACTTTTTCAGTGTATATACACCCAAAAGTGGGTGGAAATGTCTGTGTGTCTTATAGGGAAGATGTTGCCAAAGCCCCGCCCACACACCGGCCCCCACCCTTCAGCCTCTGCCTCCCAGCAATTTGCCTCCTTGCAGCAAACAGCCTGATTTAGCGTGAGCAGTTAATTGGCGGTTGGATCTGCTTTGCGGAATACTGCCTATCAGCTGTTCCAGGCTGCGGAGATCCCCGCTGTTGTTGCCATTGTCACCCATTGTCCCCACCTATTGCCGCCTCCACGTGCCCCATTTTCAACTTTGCATGTCCCATTTTCAGCCTGTTCCAGGCGGTGGGGAACTGCCGCTGTTGCCTTTTCCCATCACCTGGAACGGGCTGAAAATGGGGTGCGCAGAGGCTGAAAACAGCTCATGCGGAGCCACAAATGGGGTGCATGGAGGCAGCGATATACAGCAGCAGCGATGGACAGCGACAGCGATCTCTGCAGTCCGGAACAGCTGATAGGCGGTATACTGGGAGGCCAATCCATCCACCAATCAGCTACTCGTGCTAAATCAGGTTGTGCTGAAGCTGACCAGGCTGTTTGCTTTTTGCTGCAAATTGCTGGGAGGCAGAGGCAGATTTTTTTTTCTTGTTTTCCTCCCCAAAAGCTAGGTGCGTCTTATAGTCCAGTGCATCTTATATTTTGAAAAATACAGTATTCTCAATGTGCCCAGGGAGAGAATTATCTGCCTCTACCTGGGATCGAACTCACAGCCTCCTAATTGTGAGGTGAGAGTTCCACCTATAGGCCACCACACCATCCCTGCTTGGGATACAGATGTAAATTTGAAATTGAACAATAGGATCCACCTGTAGGGAAGGAGAGTGTTTTTTTTTTTTTTAAAGATCAAAATGCAACAATGCATCTAGGATTATAACTCTGAATTGGATTAGGGATGATATAAAAGTTGGAAAGTGTTTCTCAAGTGGCTTTATCCTATTTCAGATTATTTTTTTAATCAGTCCTGTTAGCTAGACATCAGTTCTCCGGACAAATGTATTTTCTATTAGCTCTTCCCAAAATGGTTTCCTTTGGAATGAAACATTGAACTTTGTTTTTAAGTTGATGTTATTTATCACTAACCATTTTATCCTGAAATCCACCAGCTGCTCCTAGGCCACAATTCTGCCCGTATCTAAGAGGTTCCCCCATGGCTTCTCCTTCGAGGCTATAATAAGGAGAAAAATATCAGTGCAACACAATGCAATACAATCATTTACTTTGAAGCAACTCCTTTAATCCTATATACAGAAGAAGAAAAAAATTCCCTGGCAGTCTAAGCAAGAGGGGGAGAAGGAGTCACTTGTTCCTAAGAGCTTCCAGTTCGACTTTTCATAGGGAGAAAGAGAACTTTTGGGGATAAAAGGTAGAGGTTTTCAAGGTATTTCAGGCTGCCAACTTGATGGCATTCTTTACTAATTTATTTTCAACATAGGTAAAGGTTCCCCACCCACCTATGTGCTAGTCTTTCCTGACTCTAGAGGGCGGTGCTCATCTCCTTTCAAAGCTGAAGAGCCAGCGCTGTCTGAAGACGTCTCTGTGGTCATGTGGCCAGTGTCCAACTCTATTCCATTCTATGACTAGACGCCAGAGGTGCCTGGAATGCTGTTACCTTCCCACCAAAGTGGTCCCTATTTTTCTACTTGCATTTTATACGTGCTTTCAAACTGCTAGGTTGGCAGAAGCTGGGACAAGTAATGGGAGCTCACTCCATTATGTGGCGCTAGGTATTCGATCCGCTGAACTGCTGACCCTTCTGATCGACAAGCTCAGCATCTTAGCCACTGAGCCATTGTGTCCCATATATTTTCAACATATACAACAATAAAAGGTTGTGAAGCAGCTATTAAAAACAAGCAAAGAAAATGTGTGTGTGAGAGGGGGGAGGGAGGGAGGGAGGGAAGGACGGACGGACAGACAGACAGACAGACAGACAGAATGAATGAATGAATGAATGAAAGAAAGAATGAATGAAAGAATGAATGGATGGGTTTTAAATTGGAACATCCCCTAAAAATGATA